CACAAGTCTTGTAAATAAGAAGGAGCAATTTAAGGTAGCATTAAAAAGATACTTAATTACACACTCCTTTTACTCTGTCAATGAATTTATGTTGTTTACAAATAAATGATAAATTTTTCTTGTGTGTAATGGGTAGATCTATTTGTAGCTTATCATTTCTCTAGGTGAATACTTTGTTTTGTATTATGTGAAATTTATATAATAGTTTAAATTGTACTTTATAATATGTATTGTATTATTATTATTATGACTTTTTCCACATCCTATTGTTATCTGACTGTCTTAAGGATCCATGGAATGTAAATAAATTATTATTATTATTATTATTGTTATTAATGCATTCTTTGTGCAAGCGAAAACATAATGGGTAAGGCTATGTGTGTCCATCTGTCTGTCTGCATATTTTATATCTCCAAAACTATTGAACAGATTCTGGTTAAATTTAGTATTGGAGATTTACACTAAATGTTGCCAGGGAAATTTAATTTTGACTTTTGTTGGTCCAATATAATGCCTGAAAATCAAACCAACTTCAATTCTTTAAAGTCGGGTTTTTGTACAATAAATTTGTACATAGTGTAATTAATTTTTAATGAAATGCATGAACAATGTTTTAAAATTCTGTGGATTGTGATAACAGGTGTGTGAATACTTCTACAGCAGTAGATTTGTGTCAAAAATAAATTAACTACTAAGATATGTAAATATAAATGAAAAACACGTTTGGGAAATGTGTGGAGTTTGTTGTCCAAAAGAATCAGTTTGTGGGGATACAATCTGTGAAACAGTTTGTCTAATTTCTGTACCTGCTTATTGTCTTTTTGTAGCTTAGATGCGTCATGTTTGTGTTGAACTAAGTATGTATTTGTTATTCCAGTCTATACACAAACTTAATTTAAAAATGTTGTTGTTAAAATTATAGCGCTTTTCATCGTATTACGATGTTACATTTGCGCTTATTATTAACGACATGTTTCGATGCTATTATTGCATCATCTTCAGGTTTTTATCGTTATTTATATCTTTAAAACTATTATATATTTTAATGCAACCATTTATTGATTTATTGATTTGTTTTGTAGATTTTCTTTTGTAGGTTTTTCAGTCTTCGTAATGTTCTGCATGTCTATGGTCAGATGTTCATTTTCAAATTTGTGATGTGTGGTGTGTCCTACATCTGCTATCGGGTGATGACAATCAATGACTATTGACTGTATTTTTCTCCAAAACATTGGTATCTACTTGTAAGTCCACACAGCATTGTAAACCAGAAGAAGAAGAACAACAACAACACACTATCATCCTGTAGATTATTTTTCATGCTGTCTGCAATATTGAAAGTTCATATTGAAGCAAAATGTGTTCAGAGTTGTTTTTTGTTTGCAAGCTTTGTAATGTAGAAAATTCTTGCAGTTCATTGTGTAACAAAAGTGTTTTTCATTCAGATGAGGTGCGGCGCCAGTTGAACCATTGTGTTCGAGATGGCTTGGTGCGGCTTATCAAGAGGATGGGATTTAAGGGCTCAAAAATAGGTGTTGAGCAAGAGGGCTACCGGCTACCACAAAACATGGTTGGTTTGTCTCTTTCCGCCCCCTAAGTCTGTCTCTTTCCGCCCCCTAAGTCTGTCTCTTGACTTGATTCATCTACAGTTTTAGGTGTTATTGCTGCTTGACCATTGAACACAATTCATTTTTTATGCATTACTGGTTGAAATGAATGAATTTTGCAAAGTAGTTAGTTTCTGGTTTGATGTGAAGTGATGTCTTTAGCCCCTGTGTGTGTTTGTGTGTGCGTGTGTGTAAGGCAGGTGGCTCAGTCACTGTAGTGACTGACTATGGGCTGGAAGACAAGTTCATTTCCTGGCAGGGACAAGAGATTTTTCTCTTAGCCTCTGTATTCAGATCATTTCTGGGGCCCACTTACTCTCCTATCTAGTGCATACTAGGGGCTCTTTCCCAAGGGTAAAGTAGCTGGGACAATGTGGAGCAGTACCTCCACTACCCCATTCATCTTCATGGTGTGGTGCTTAACGTATTAAAACATTACCTTTTCTGGTGTTATTCATGTTCTAGCTTGAGCAAGGAACACTTTATAGGTTCTCTATGTCTGTCACATTTTTACAACAATGGGGTCTCACCTTGGCACAGGAATTATTTAATAGCGTTGTTGGAACATATTGTTGCACAATTGTGCTATGGGATCTCAATGTAACATTGGCCTGGGTTCATATTTGTAAACTTATGACTAAAAATGCCATAATGGCCTCATCACATTAGTACAATAATGATATGTGTGATGTAGCATGAAGAACATCTTTGGAATATCATTGTACACCAAAGAGAACACCTTTCTAGTTTTGTGTGTGTGTGGTTGCATGCAGGCATGTGAGTACAGAGGTTTGTGTGCACATACATATACTTCATAGGCAACATACCAAAGAAAGATTTATTTTCCTTGACATAAGTAGTAGGTATGTGGAACATTGTTCATCGCAACTTTCATGTTGTACCATTTTAATTTCAACAAACCCAATTAATCATTTCTTTTCTGTATTGTGACATGTGGACTTCTGTTGCAGTTGGTGAAGGATGGCCATGACTGGTACTGTTTTGAGTGCCATGCAGGTGGTGATGTGATCTGCTGTACCAGTTGTTATCGTGTGTACCATGTGTCATGTCTCGCTAAGGAAGAAGTGCTTCAAGAAGATGTCAAAAACACGTTTATTTGTCCAGTGTGCAAGGTGATATAATCTGAATGTGTCTTAATTAAAAACTGGTTTCATTTTGTTTCTTGATTTGTTAATTCAAGTGGCTTCTTGCTGGACTTGGTTTAGGAAAAAACAAATATATGCTTTCAGTGTTGTGCAGTAGAGATAAATCTGCATTAGTCATGGTACTCGGTATTTGTAGTTCAGTTTGAGGGTGAGGTAAGAAACTGTTTGTTATGAACTTGGTAAAGAAGAAGTGATCATTTATCACGTGAAAACATAAACACTGTCAAAAAATTATCTTACGTGATATTTCGTGTTCTCACAGAGGTGAGTATGAAGATGACTGTCTTCTGCAATGTTGCACTGTGTAGTCAGGTAGAAGTCTTTGCTGCCTTCATCATTGCCTTGAATTAAAGTTTGTTTTGGATGTGAGGTCTGGACCACAAACTTCTTGTTTATTGTCCGAGGCCAGCCAACTTTGAAGAGACAGAACTGTAATAACAATTTTTTTTTTTGCAGATGCAAGAGGCACAGAAAGATTCCAAGATGAAACCGAAGCGTCGACAGTTGAATCATCTGTTAGGATTTACGTGCATTCGTCTCAAAGAGAGGGTGGGTACAAATTATGTGACTTACTAATCTGTTATAAGCTAGAATATGCTTTCTTTATTTAGAGTTGTTTAAAATGTCAAAACATTTTGGAATGCAGAAAGGAGTGGGTCATTTTTTTGAATTGTTGTAGATATAGAGTGCACTCATGATGGGAATCTCAAAGTTAAGGCAAAGGTTGTTTGGAATATGTTGTGCATCAGCTGAGAGTCATCACAAAATGCATGTGATTTCAAGGATATGTATTTCTGTTGGTAGATTTCTTCACTTTGTCCATCTTTTGGTATTCTGAAAAGAGCACAGTGTTTTGGAAATAGTATCTACTTCCATTCTCAGGTAAGGAAGATAGGGAGTTATCTATTCATGTGGGCCCTTTTAAAGAGCTAACCTGATGCACAAGTGTTTTTTTCAGAATACCACATCGTGAAAAAAGTGCAGAAATCCAGTAATGGTAATTGTAATATACCACCATCAGACCCCTTTCATAATGAGGAGTGAGAATGTTTTGAAGTCTTAAATCTCAGGCTATCAGTTGTTTGAGCCTTGTGTTCCTATCCAGTGTTTTGGAAACTCTGTCTCCATCATTAACCCTGAGACAGAGGCAGTCTGTGAAATGTTGGATGTAGATTCTGTGCTCATATGGCTAATACAAGTGAGAAAACTTACTTGTTTTCAGTCATGGTGAAAGCTTCAGGTTTTAAATATGTATGTTTCCTTCAACCAAAGTATTTGTGAACAGTATTGTTACTTCGGTATATTGTTTATCATTTGTCATGAGAACAGGCTATTGTAAAATTGAGGCTTTTCTCATACTCAGAAAGAAATACTGTAATAGCACTACAAGCTAAATGACTGGTGAGAACCACATTCTCTGTCATTGTTTGGATCTCGAGTAAAATACAGTACTGTTTGTTGTATTTTACGTAGAGCACTAACATGTTCAGTTATGCCTCTATTGTTTTATTCCTAATAATTAAATAATGTCTTGTGTTTTCTGTTGTTTCTTTGTGCCACAGAAAGGACTGAAGTTTGCAAACTGCTATATTATATGTTTAGATTAACCATGTGTGTAGCTAGTACCGAATCCAGGACTAGAGGTAATTTCATGTGTGTAAAACAACAGCCAAGAAGCAGTTATAAGTGTATTTATAATTTTCAAAGCACAGGTTTTGTGGGTCATTTGATCTGAAGGGTACATGGAAATTTGGCTGTGGATTTTTAAATAGCAGTTTATCACTGCAGCTTCCTGCAACTATAACAGACCGCCAGGTTCCAAGCAAGAACTCCTACATATCTGACCGTTCAGGGGCACTGAGTCAGCTGGCACATCAGAGGAGAGCTAGCAGTAGTTCAATTGGAAATGACCAGCCAGGTGGCCTCAAGTGGGTGACGGATGATGCTGATCTGTGGCGTGTGGATTACCTCATCTATAGACCCATGGACCTTCGCACGATGGAGCTCAAGGCTTCCAACAACCAGTACCGCAGCCTCCAAGAGTTCCGTGCTGATGCTGAGACAATTGTTCACAATGTCGTCATTTACCATGGAGGTGGAGTATCTCATTCTGAAGTAGATATTACTGTCTGTATGTCACAGATCACACACTCCTGGCCTTTATGAAGGTATGTTCATGATCTCTGTTGATAAGCAGTATTCATTACCTTTGATTGTTATTAACAAAATAATGAGTAATGAGGTTTAATGAATTCTTTGTTTGGAATTTTTAATTATATTTGATAAAATCTCCTTGTATCAGGCTCTCTGCTATGTCTGAGTAACCTCAATTCAGAAAACTTGGTTTTATTGTGTGGGTTTTATTGACTCAACACTATTCAATTTAGCCATAACTGTATGCCAGCTTTTCAAAATAGTTCGAATCAGGTTAGTTCATATTTTGTTCACAGTATAGTATAGAAATACTTCTGTGTATCTGTCATCTGATTTCATCAACCACTTGCATCATGACTTCCATGAAATGTCTTTTCTGACTGAAGGTATTTTACAATTCTGTGAGAAAATTATGCAGACATTACATATAGTGTCATTTTGATACAGAATGTTTATATACACTTGTATCCCCCCCACTTCCCAAAGCAAAAACTTATATAAAGAATATGTAAAAACCAGTTATTTCTGCAAGGAAATCATCTCCATTTACAAAGGTAATTTGGTTAATGCTGTTTGGGGAAATAATTTGTTTTTTCCTTCTGAGAACTATGTGAAGCCCATAATTATACTTTGTGTGCAAAACGTATAGTTACTGGTTGTTAATACATTTGGTACATATAATTACCACTGGTTTTTTATGGTTAGTGAGTTTCTTTTTATCTGCCCATTTTGTACATAACTTGTCACATTCCAGTTGTTGCTTGTAGTGGAATTGTTGGAATTGTTATTACCACTTTTCTCCTCTTCTCCTAAATAGGAAGGTAAATTAAGCATTTTTCTTTCTGTAGAAAACTGTCAAGAGTTTATTGAACCTCACTATTCAGTCCAGTATTTTGTTAATATAAAACAAAGTTGGTAAATAAGTTTTGTATCATGGTTGAAACAATTTATCTGCTATTAACATCTAAACACACCTGTATATAGTCTGCTTCAAAATCTGAACACAATGTGACTTTAAAGAGGTTCTGAACTTGAGGAAGTGGTAATTTTTGTAAAGACTGTTTGTTTTTAATTTTATTTCTCTGACAAACAATGCAAATGACAGGGTTGTTATTTGATATTGTTATTGTATTCTGGAAATTAAAGCATAATACCAGTAGACTTGTGTTCCCTTGGACTGTGTTTTTCTATGATTTTTGTGTTCACTGCCTACAATTTGTCTGCCCTAATTGTTTTAAATTGGAAGGAATATAAATAATTTTTTGTTTAATGTGTCATTCATTGGCTTAGCTATGGACTCATTTTTTGTACAGAACCGTTATAAAATTAGTTTACATACAGTAATATGTTGTGCATGTAAATCATAAAGTATCTGCCTGAATTTATCCTGCATGAGATGAATGCTTTTGAAGTAATTTGTTTATGTAGGATCCTTACTAAAATCTATCAAATTAAATAGTGTGTATTACTTTTTTATTCATGAAGCCTTAAGTATGTTTTGAAATATTCTAGTAAAGAGTTCATTGATTGATAAACAATTTAGGCAGAAATTGTAACAACTAGTGAGTTGATTGGTTTGTGGTGTTTAAATATCTTTTTTATATGACTGCCAAATATTGAATAAGTCTTTGTGAAAGTAGGTATATCTACTGTATTTACATATGATATGCTGAGCCTCTTTAATGTGCCATGCAAACTAATTTCTACTATCTCTTTATCCATTTTTCTCCTTCATGTGCAACTTACTGTTCCAGTGCACAGTAGCCTAGCTGACACAGCAAGACAGATGCTGCGGGACTGTATCTATGACTTACAGGAGATACAGCAGTGCCGTGATTGCTATCGTGTCTCCAATGAGAAGTCAGACAAACACTGGTTCTGTCAGCCATGCCGCCCACCACATCAGCTCGTGTATGCCAAGCAGAAAGGTTTTCCATACTGGCCAGCCAAGGTGAAACTCCTCTGCTTCCTGCTATTAAGTATCAGTAAATATCACAGCAATAGTGGTTTGGTAATAAATTGCACATAAAATAATGTGAATTGTTATGCAACATATACAAACTTAATTTGTTTTGTTTGTACATATATAGTACTGGAAATAATTAAAATTTCAAGATTATCACATGTTGCATATTATCAAGTAAGCAATTTTTGAAGTTCACTTTTGTCAGTAAATGTGTTTCTGCCATCCTATCATTTGTGTGGAAATAATACGTGTTTTAGTATGTCCATATTTAAATAGTTGGAAAAATAGCAATCCTTTGTCAGTGGTGGGGGTCATGGTGGTCAACTAGACAAAGGCTTTATGGGAAGTTGGGGTGTCAGGGGAACTGTGATCATTGTTAATACTCTTCAGAGTTTAAGTTGTAGGTTCCTTTGTCAAACACAAACATTACTAAATAACATGTTTAAAAATAGATGGGACATGACATAAGAAGTTTCACACAAAGGTACTAGGTAGGTAGGTAGGTAGGTAGTAAACTAATATGGAAGCTATAAAACTTTACAAGTACCATTATACCATTGACCCTAGCAAATGTGGATGTTTTAGTTTAGAAGCCAGTGACTCCTTCTGTGAGAAACAAATTAAAATATGCATTCTTAAAACTTTGCAGATTCATGGTTTGCAGATGATAATATGTTTTCATGGACAATCTGTGTTCTATTTATGTTCTGATGGCAGTTGTCAGTGTAGAAGATGATGATAAACTCATTTCCTGAAGCTTTGTATTAAAACCCATTGAAGAATCATTTCCACCAAAGTATTTTCACATAACACTTGTGGTGATATACATTACAATAATTTTATGATGAATGTTCTGAATTTGAAGTTACGGTTGCACTACAGTTACTGAGTTTCGAGTATTGTTATGCAGGTGATCAGGATAAGTGGGGAGCAGTATGATGTTAGGTTCTTTGGAGGACATCACCAGCGTGCACTGATTGAGAAGTCTCATATTCGCTCCATATCAGTCAACATCCAGGCACTTCAGTTGAAGCGAACCTCCACTTTTAACAAGGCTTTTGAGGAATTAAAACGCCACCAGGATTTGTTGGAGAAAATGCGCAACAATGGACGTACTTATCCTGACTCCAGCTCTGAAGAAGAAGAGGAGGAGGAGGAAGAAGAAGATGATGATGTAGGAAAAGAAGAAGAAGAAGAAAAAGAGAGTGAGCCAGTGAATCGGCCATGTAAATCATCACGCCCCCATAAATCACAGGTACTCTGTGTGAAATGCATAACATATATAGTCAACCTTGATTTTTTTAAGAATATGTAAACTTTCATAAATGCTTGTTAGTGAGTATTTGCAATACTTAAAAATGTTTGAAATACACAGTCTCAAAGCCCATCTTGAAACTTTTAATTATATATATCACAAAACAACACTTAATTTGAAAAGAGAATTAATGGAGGGGGGAGAGTATTATTGTGTTTGATGTTATCATGCAGATAATGAAAATAAGAAAGGTTAATTAAACATTTTCACTGTCTGTAACATAATCTGAACTGAGTAATCAAAGATTTTTTTCATGCATGCATTGTGCATATACTTGCTATAATTTTTGGGTAGATGTGTGTAATACTATTTGCTACATACCTGCTAGTCTCATTGACATTCTGCCTACAATTTTCTGTATATTCACGTATCCCGTTAGCATCCTGTTATGTAAGAACTTCTCTCATAATCCATGAAAATAAAAATGAGAGAATACCTGAGATGGAAATGTGGATAATCTTTACGTTTTAATGGAAACTAAATTTTTATTAATTTTTTGCCAAGAAGAAGAAAAAATGTCGAGTGTTTGGTGAGAAAACTCCAAGTTTCAGAGATAGTAGGTAACTACATTCTTAAACAGAGAAACTAAATTTGATGTCAGAATTAGTATTTTATTTATAGTCTATATTGTGTTGGTTGAAAAGGATTGTCTTTATCAAGGAAATGTCTTATTACATCCTGACTTCACCATTTTTCCACTGTAACAGATATTCATGTGTGTTCCTATTGCAGTTATATATTTAATACGTTGGCGTAGACATAGCACTGAAACAATTTTGCATGTAAATATATGATGTAAGAGATTTAATTGGTATTGTCTAATGACAGGAGGCAGTGCGAGAGCACAAAAAGGTGAAGGTCCACAAAGAAAAGGCAGAGGAGGAAGCAGCAGCAAGTGAAGAATTAGACGGAGGGGCATCACCAGAAGAGGAAGAGGAAAGCTCCATTTCATCGACTAGCAAACCAGTCACAGACATGACGGTAACAAGAGCTTTCTTTAAACATGTTGAATCAGATTCTGAAAACTGGAATTCTACACAGCTTTGCCTTGTGATGCAGCAAAATAGATTGAGGGTATATGGAACAAAGTGTTTATGAAGGAAGAGAATGTAACAGGAAAATGAGCTTTATAATGTGTGCCATTGGTGTTATGGTGTTTAATCTGAGGATGATGAGGTGGTTGGAGCAGGTAGAATATAAGACAGAAGGGCTAAGACCAAAGAAATAAGATATGTTATGTGGACTGGATTATCTGTTTCAGGATAATGGACTTTTATGAACATGAATCTTCAGGTTTCATAAAATTGGAAATTTCTTGAGAAGTGATGTTGGTATCAAAATGTTAATTAATTAATATTATGAAATTACATTTAACTAAAGAATTTTACTGGATACTGTTGGCACAGAATACTAGCTGGGACCATATATGTTGACAGGTTTCCATAGGTCAGGTAAATACTACCTTAAGCCATTACTGTTCCTCCTAATTCCTGGTTGATGTTCTCAACTTATTTTTAACTGTGGTTGATATAGTGTTGTTGACTGTGCCACAACATTTAAATCATCTTCATCCTGAGGCTGTTAAAGCACTTAATTTAAATACCCTTTATACACTACATTTTAGTGTTCTTAGAAGATAAATTCTACTGTGATAGATGATAACCTGATTTATTTATGGCATTTGTATCTGCTATGTAACTCCTGAAATTGAAATAATTTAATTCAACAGATATTGGACTTTGCACAATCTAAGACTATACATGAGTTTTCACTACATGACTCAAAAATTGGCATATAGTGCAGATAGAATAAATAATTGGACCAGTTTTTTTAAGGACAAAATTATTTCTGATAGGCATGCAAAACAGGTATTCCAACCATTTTGTCTAATGAGTAACAGATGAAAAATACCAGTGTACATTCTTGCAACAGGACTGCACTACTGCTGATAGAACAAGAGCATCTATGGTTGATTTTAGGGAAGTGTTTGGGAACTGGATTATTAGTAGTGGCTTTTGGCTTACATGTTCTTCTGATCTCAACCCATATGACTTTATTTATGAGGAGATGTAAAGCAATGAGTTGACAGGCAAATCTTGTACACAACTTAGGAACCGAAGGAAGATATCTGAAGGGAATTTTTCTTTATTTCCCAAGAATAACTTAAATATATAAATGTAAACATCTTATTAAGGTGCCAGGAATGTGTATGGAACAATGTAGAGCATTTCCAGCAACTTCTGTAATTAGGATAAGTTTCATTTTAATGTGATTAAACTGTAGGTTTGTTAGTTATGCCAGGAATTTTAATCTCTGCAGGCCAGCATGGCAGGAGAAATGTCTGAGTGCCACATGAGAAATTCAGCAATTAGTGGGACACTAGAAAATAATTTCACTGTATATATTTAAGTAAAATTATACTGTGTCTAAACTAGGTTTTATCAAGCTTTCTGCTACTTTGTTGATTGTGCAGAAGGAAGGGGTCTCCCAAGAAGACATGGTGAGTTCATCCTCTCAGGAGCCTCGTTCTCGTTCCATTTCTGTGCAGACATCACCTCGTCTCATGAAAAATGCAAATAAAAGATCAGCAGACAAACCAAGCACAGATGTTATTGACAAGGTGAGTAGAAATTTTTTCCAGATATTTCTGCTTTAATTTTCATCTATTATTTACTTAACCCTGTAGCCTGTGGTAAGAATCAGACTGCAGTAATGCATTTTTAGCAAAACATTTTTGTACATGCAAGGGGTTTGAGACCCTTGGCATAAAACCATATAATAAATTGGTAAGTGAAATCAGGGTATTGAACCGAAGATAGAACTCTGAATTAAATGAGTTGGTAGCTGTCACTATCTTTCCTAAGTGAATCTGTGATGGTGATAACCTTTATATGTCATGAAAGAGAATTTCTTGAAAAGTTGAATAATTATTGACTAATAACTCATTCTACATAACGATTGGGCTGTTACCATAATTCCTAAAGTTTGTTATTGAAAATACTTAAAATATGGCCAAACTGTAATTTGTGTCCTTTGCTGCACTTGGTTTCCTGATCTGACATGTCTTCACATTCAGAATCTCTGTCGTTAACACTACTCTTCACTTCATCAGGACTACTGTCATATACAAATGATTCAATTAGTGCGTAATTTTCATCGTCACCTTTGTTATGAACCACTTGTATCTGAACTTTCAGCCAGTTGCTTTAAGAATACTGCTAATCCCTTGCTGCTGCTAGTAGCCACCATGGTGTTCCACAGTGGAACTAACTGCATCATTTATTAGAATGTCAAACAGGCTTTTCTTGAAATAATGCCATATTTATGATGACATAACAGTTGTCAGGCAGTAACAAATACTTTTGTGTTTACAGAACAAGGTGTACAGTATATAGGAATATAGATTGTACCTAATTTGAATTTTTGTATCAACTGTATGCACATATGATATGAATTGACCAGAGGTCTGATGTACATTTCCTTGTTTGTACTCATCTTCAAAGGTCTCTGTCAGAGATTGAAGCATCATCAGTCTTACTCAAGAGTGCCTGGCTATGAGATCGGAAACTGTGTCACCAAAAGAATGTTCCATTCCATAGTAATTGTGAAAAATGGAATAGAAAATTTAGATATTTGTCTTTCAGAGACTATCATACACTTTAATGGAATTCCTTAAAAATTAATTATGCCAAGGATGTCCAGATTTAATGATACTGACATTGTCAGTACACACATGACATGCAGTACTGATGTATTGAGTATGTTTGACAGTGCTAAAGAGATCAATTATACGGTTGTAAAACTGTTGCTTTGAGGATTTGAGAGAAAATGATTTTGTTACAGTTACAATGTGAAATGGAGGCTGAGAAGCAGAGGGCATTGCAAGAACTTCAGGAGCAGATGCGGCTGGAGTTGCAGGAGCTGAAGGACAAGCACAAACAGACTATTTCAGAGATAAAGAAGAAACAGTGGGTATGTATTTTACTGATGTATGCAATAATTGTACTTGTATAAGAATGTTGAATGAATTAAGATTAAGGTCCATGTGGTTCTGGATAACATGTCATGAATATGCTGCCCTATCAAACCTCTTAATCTGTGGATTCTACTAGACATTTCCCTGGGGGAAGCGTAGTCAGAATGTGAAATTGACCAACATATATATTATGTAATTATTATTATTATTCAATATTAATATTGCCATCATAGTTGTTAACTTAGTATGGTAAGTTTGCCATTGTTTTGAACAAACAATTATAATATTATTATAAGATCCAAAGTTAAGTTACAAGAATTATAAATTTCATCTCATTTGATTTCTAGACTTGTAAAAGCACTGAAATAAAAGCTAAATTCTTGCACAGATAGCTTGAACCTCAAACTGTATCACTGCATTGAGAAGAAACTAAATTGCAGCACTGAGCAGTTCAGAGAGGCAAAGCCACTGTGAGCACCAAGATATGGGTGTAATCTCTTGACACCTGTAGAAGCTGCATGACTTTTGTAAGGTGGCAACTGACATGTTAATACATTTACAGTGAAGCTACAAATTTATAAACCTCGTGACTATTGACTTACCTGTGGCCATCCACAAGTATATTTTTGGAGCCCTGAAGGGAAGGATTTAAATACCCCTAATGTGCTAAGGAAAAATTTTCAATTTCTGTAATGTTGCAGTGCTACAACTGTGAATGTGAGGCTATCTACCACTGCTGCTGGAACACTGCATACTGCAGCATTGAGTGCCAGCAACTTCACTGGCAGAAAGAGCACAAGCGTGTCTGTCGTCGGAAGCGCTGAGGGATGAAAGTACTCTAAATGTAGGTGCCACATGAACAGAAGTTGGAGGAAGGCAGTGAGCTCAGGATTAAATGTATGTGTAATATGGAATTAATGCTGAAGTTATCTTTTGTTGAAGGTTTTATTTTTAGTTTGATGCAAACTTATGATGGAGTGCATATAATTGTTTCTGAGTTTGTATGTACAGATATTCAGAAAAAGTGGTTAGCAACTACAGTCAGCCATTCACTTCTTCATTTAGCTTCATGTACCAATAGTCAATACTAATAGTTTGCCTCATAAAACTCAAAACTTAAGTTTTTAATAACGCATGTAGGTACCACAGCTGACAGATGACTATTTTAAAACTCCATGGCTCTGATCTCTGCTACATAGACAGTGACTAAGAAATACACGAAGTTATTTGCAGTTCTGTACACTTATCTTGTCCAGTTGCAAGAAAAAGGAGCATGTGATTGAACATACTGATGGTACCTAGGAGGTCGTGATAATTTATTTGCACTTCCTGGATTGTTATCTTGTTGAAGATTGGTTGCACACTAATTCACAGCTTGTTAAGCAGCCATAAGTCTTGCGAGTGCTCGAGATGCCTAGGCTCGGAATTATTTAGTGTTGTATAGGCTCTGAAACAGACCTTTCTATGCTTGGGGTAGTTGGTACACATATATGTACCATACCATGCACTAATATACAGACGTAACATTCAGTAGTTGATCTTAATTGATTCTGATTTTACTTCTCTATGGGACATGGTGGAAAATTGCAATACTTTCCATTGAACATTGCATTTACTTTATACCTGATATATTCTTGACACTTGTTAGCTTAAACATTTGAGTTGCTTCAGTTTGGTCATCATATACAGTGAAACCTATATCCATCGTTCCCCGAACTATCGTTTTCCCGGATGCATCGTCCGTTTTGTTCGGTCCTGGATACATCCCATATAAAATAATGTTTCTGGTTCATCTCGTTTCCAGTGGTTCAGTGTCTTCTACGGCTACGTTTTGTCGAGTTCGGCAGTAATAGTATTTCCATTCTTTCTGTTATTGTTTGCGAAGGGGTTGGGAGTGGTGAGGAAGAGGAAGATGACGAATACGAGCCCGAAGCTGTGCCGAGTTTTGCCGAAGCATGTGTTGCATTGGCAAAAGTGAAGTCGTCCTTTTATGCACATAATATTAGTGAGCGTGACGAGGAAAACATTTTGAACGTGGAAAGGGCTCTGTTTGGCCTAAAACGTAAAGTTTCGACAAACCAGTTGTCCATTAAAGACTTTTTTGGTAAAAAGAAGTAACTTTGAAAGAGAAACATTCAGTTTTTTTTAAATTTTTAATGCTTTCCCGCAACTATCGTTTTCCCGTATTCATCGTTTTTATTTCTCACCCCCGCCAAAAACGATGCATCTTGGTTTCACTGTATTACCACAATGGTGTATGCCTCCTTTCTGCTTTATTGTATCACTCTGCATGTTACAGTACAAAGTTTAAATTTTCAAAAGGAGAAAGAGAAAATTTACAGAAGTATTGAAAGCTTGCTAATATTGTAGGGACCATTAACAACAAGACTAGATAAATTGTACATTATCAACTGATGTAGACACTTATTAAAGCTACTGTTACATAACTGTTTTTTCTACCTAGATCTATCTACTGCACTGCTGCCAATGCAGTATGCTTGTGTTTTCGGTAAGAATGATTTTTGTTGTTGGTTATGACAGAAGCTACTTTAGGAGGTGTACATTCTTAAACTGTACATTTATAAAGTGTGAATACATCTTAATACTTATGGTTTATGTCTTCACTGTCTCAGTAGAGGTATACAATGAAACTGGGATTTTTCTAAGTTAAATGTCTCAATATGTGGTGAGAGAACATGCATAAGCTTGTTTTACATAAGTATTTGTTTGGATTGTGTCACGATGGTAGTGTAGTGTGCCCATGAACAATGTATGATCCTATGTAGTTAAAATTTATAAAGTAAAGTAAATCTGTCCTGCAACATGCCATGT